GAACCGGCCAATCAGAAACGAACTTTTTTTTATTTTGAGACTTTTGGCCGTTTTGATCGAACTCTGCTATAGGTTATCGAGAGCGCTGAATTTGAATCCGAAGGCCATTTTTTTGGCCGAGATTTCATTGGTCGAAAACTAACCAATCAGAAAAGAACTTTCTTATTTTAAGACTTTTCGCCGTTTTGATCGAACTTTGCAATAGGTTATCGAGGGTCCTGAATCCGAATCCGAAGCCCATTTTTTTGGCCGAGATTTCATTGGTCAGAAATCGGTCAATCAGAAATGAGCTTTTTCATTTTAAAACTTTTGGTCGTTTTGAATGAACTTTGCTATAGGTTATCGATGGCCAGGATTCAGAATCCGAAGTCAGTTTTTTTGGCCGGGCTTTCATTGTGTGAAATCCGGCCAATCAGAAACCAGCTTTTTTATTTTAAGGCTTTTCGACGATTTGATGAAACTTTGCTATAGGTTATCGATGGCCCTGAATCCGAATCCGAAGCCATTTCTTTGGCCGAAGTTTCATTGGTCGGAAACCGGTCAATCAAAAAAGGAACTTTTTTATTTTACGGCTTTTGGCCGTTTTGATCGAACTTTGTTAGAGGTTATCGAGGGTGAGAAATCCGAATCTGGAATCAGGATTCCAAAATTCAGACCTCGAATCTATTCGTTCTATGAGAAGTGATATTGAGAAACAGCAAGTACTTTGTAATACGTGACAGTAGTGTAATGAATCAAGAAATACGAAGATAAGATGAAATTAGAGTGCTTGTAGAACAAAGATTGAGGAATGAGAGCGAGTTACGCAAAAAAATTATTTAGATTGACAGGATACAACGGCTGTGTCCACTTATTCAGAATATTTCAGATTATCGGTAAATCCATACTAACGTGTCCTCTTCCTGAATACTGATAAGCTTCCAAAGAAAATTTCTAATGTGGATGAATTTTTTTTGTAAAGGATCAAACTTTGCATCAGTTTTTTAAATAGGAACGATGGCTCGATTTTGAAAATGGTATCAACCTTTCGTGAGTGAAAGTAGCTGGAAGTAGCGGATAGCCGTGAATGGCGTTCCTTCGGAAGGACGGCGAACGAATAGCTGCCTCTAAACTAGGTTTATTCAAATCTGTTTTACGACATTTCTGCATAACATCAAGCAAGGTCCTTAAAAAAGTGCCACAGAGACTTAACATGTGATATTTTATGTAGAGAAGGACTCCTATAAACATGGAGAAACTCGAGAGACGACACGTATATATTTAATAGATATCTTGCTGGATATAGGAAATCTAGTACCCTTTAGTTACGAGTAGAGAAGCTTTTGAAGCAGTCGAAATGTGGATTAGTCATGCCTTGAATAAGAAAGTAGTCATTTGAGAATATGTGTTCAAAGATAGTAGTAGCTAAGTGTGAATAGCGCCACGTCGGAACTCCGACAGTGAAATATAGTAGCTTCTATTTCTATTTCACAATTTTTTTGGTATGAGATATGGTCTATTAAGCTAGTTTTTTGTGTGAAATCATATACTTAAGCTTCTTTCGATGGCGAGCTCCATGAAATCTTAGATTGACTAGCTAGGTAAAGGATTGAAACGCATAAGGAATAGTTCACAAGTATTTTCACTTTGGGATTTCTCATGCGATAAATATAGGCAGCTTTGAAACTAATCCAAATCTAGAATCCAGTAAAATTTAAATAACAGTGCATGATTATATAATTACTGGAAGAGAACGATGCATAACAGCAATTAGTTGCGCGTGACGACCCACTCGGATGCCGACGAGTGACTAGCTGCTGCCCTAAAAAATCCTTTGAATAGAATTC